AACTGCCATGTGATTGGTTGATTAGATAATTGCATTAATGAGAAATTGAACAGGTGTTCCTAATAATCCTTTAGGTGAGTGTATTTGAGACATGCAAAGCTGGTTCAATTTCTGAACGTCTGACCAAGACATCTTTTAAACATCTGCAGACCTTTAACTCCGAACCATTTTCTGAACGTCAGATCAGAACAGGGACATTTAGCATAAGTCATCTGCTGTGACTAACTGTTCATTCACACCAGCGTCAGTTTTGTCAGTCAGTGCTGTTTTTGCTACTTCTGATTTATTGCTGGGTGGCATTGAATTATGGTATCGTTCAAACTGTCTTAAAGGAACAGGGCTCAACATTAACTAGGGGTAAAATTTACTGACAAGTTTTGATGTAACTGTCAAAAGAAACAGAAATTGAGAATAGCCTGACTCCTCTGTAGCTACAGCTTGACACAGTTGCCCATGTATTAATGATGTTAACTATTCATTTAATTTTAGGCCCCACGACTATCAACTTCACCCCATCCTGGGTGGTTCCCTGCCTTGCATCTGTAGACTCTGGGATAGACTCACGACCCTGAACAGGACAAACGGTTACAGAAAATAGATGGATGGAAGGGTGGATGGATGGATGGAGGACTATCAACTTTTCTTCCATTTTCAAATAAACAGAACATATCTTTGATAGGAACACACAGCACAGTTGTTTATTAATGGACTAGAGAACACTATATTAACACCGCATCACTGTCCATTTGCATGAAGTAGAGCTCTGTGGTTGCATAGGCTGCTTGCTGCCGGATTCAATTGAAAATAAGTAAATAAATAAATAGCCTTGGACTCCACAAAAATATATTAATTACTAAAAGGTAAGCCTGTTTTTTCAGTTGTCATGAAAATTGAACTCTAATAACCGATTCAAACTATAGAAGCCAGGAATCTCACACGACTGGTGTTTCAGCAATGATTGATTCTTTCAAAGCATCTATTTCTGTTAAAATTCCACATTAATTAGGTCCATGTCTCAGCCCCAGAGTTTAGGCAGTGGACTTGCTTCCACTAACACTTTGAAATGTCTAAATATTATTTTACTGAAAAGTACATTGACAAATACATAGTTGGCTGGTGTGCTCCCAGCTGAAAAAAAATCAGCTAGACCAGCTTAAGCTGATCTAAAGAAGAGTCCATTAAAGAAGAGTCCATTAAGAAGACAACTCATATCACACCTAGTATATATTCTCTTCGTTGGCTTCCAGCCCAGTTCAAAATATTGGAGAGCCTTACATGGTCAGGCCCAGCCATACATAGTGGACAAGGTACATCCCTATTCAGCTGGCCATGTTCTAAGGTCCTCTGATCAAGGACTCATTGTTGTTCCACGGACAAGACTTAAAACACGTGGTGATCGGGCATTTCAAGTTGTTGCCCAAGGTTACATAATGATCTTCCTCCATTGTTGCTTTTTGCAGATTCTGTTGAAGGTTTTAAATGGCAGCTTACCTTTCATCTCAGGCTTTTGGTAAAATGTGAGTCAATCCTGTGAAATCATGTTTTATTATGTGTTGTCATGTATGTAGTATGTGTCTATTTTTAATAGGTTTTATACGGTTTTCTCTGTTTTATGTTTTTTTTTTCCAACATTTTAGTTTTGTACAGTGCTCTGTGACTCCTTTGTATACGAAAGACGCTTAAAAAGTAAAGTTTACTTACTAAGTTTACTTACTAAAGAGCAGCAGGACCATGTAAACCCAACTAAGACTAGCTATCAGCATAAGCCATTTTTCGCTGTTATTTCAGTAGGGGTAGTATGCCTATATTATGAAAAATTGTGGGATGTGGGTTGAAGTAGCTGAAATGTTTGCAGGCACAGGCAGGAGTGGTCTGAAATATTGCCAGAAGGGTGACAGACATAAGGTCCTACACATGCTCTCCAACCCATATCTGTTAAAGGGAAGTTGGTGCAAATGTCATAAATCATGTAGAAGAAGTAAAATAATGACAACAGGTTAATTTTGCTTATTTGTCATTTGTTTTTGTTTCTTCAGCTGGGATAAGGGGGCAATAGTCTCAATATGAGGTGGTCGGATATGGCCGACCACCTCAAGCCCCAGGGAGGAAGGCTGGTGAAGGAAATGCACAAAGGGCATGAAGCGGCTGTTGTTGCTGTACATGAATGTCAATGATGGGAAGGGCATAAATATTAAAATATCATATCCATGCATGTTGCTATTCATTTTTTTCAAGCATGTTTTGAATATTTGTAATGTTAAATATATAAAACAGAATGAAAGCTTAGCTTCATAAAGAAAAACATTAATATTTAATAGAAATATGAGTCATTTGTATTGGTTAAAATTAAATATAAATATATGTTAAAATATAAACCAGTTTAAAAAATGCTGATATTACGTTTAAAAACGATGCAGTAAAAACTTCTATTCTTCTTCTAGAGTAAAAATGGCATTGTTAAAAAGATGTCCTTCTAGATACGCTTTTGTTTGTTGAGTAACAACTACAATAATGGAGATAATCTCATGGGATGATCAGCTGTTTTCCATAATGGAGGACGAGGGATTTTGCTGGCTCATTCACCACTTAGAAGATGGCACAAAGTACTGACCTGCAACATATTTATAAATCGTTATTAAATCTGACCGATAAATCAAACTTTAATTTTCTATAGTTTCGTCGCTGGCAAACATAAGAGTTAATATGTGCCGTTCTGTAAAGGGTAAACCACAGATATCTGACCCCTCCCACCATCCCCGGGAAATATTCAGGGATGACACAGGGGGTGACAAGCAGAGTTAACGGTCTGCACCCTGAACAGATGGACACTGCTATAACATGATTGACAGAAATGCTAGAAAGGTACACTAACTGGCCACATTATTAGATACACCTGTTCAACTGCTCAAAAAAGATGAATGCAGAAGAGTAGGGTCAGAATTTGGAGTAAACAAGACGCAAGCATGGATCCATCCTGCCTTGTATCAACAATTCAGGCACTGCTGTTGGTGTAATTGTTTGGGGGATATTTTCTTGGCACAGTTTGGGCCCCTTAGTCCCTTTTAACATCGTTTAAATGACAAGGCCTACCTGAGTATTGTTGCTGAACATGTCCATCCCTTTAAGACAACAGTGTTCCCAGCTCCTAATAGCTACTTCCAGCAGGATAACAAACCATGTCGCAAAGCTCATATCATCTCAGACTGGTATCTTGAACATGCCAATTAGGTAATATTACTTAAATAGCCTCCACAGTCATCAGACCTTAATCTAATGGAGTACTTATGGGATGTGATGGAACAGGAGATTCGCATCATGAAGGTGCAGTCAACAAATCTGTGTTATGCTAATGTGTCAATATGGACAAAGTCTCTGAGAAATGTTTCAAACACCTTGTTGAATCTATGACACAAAGAATTAAGGCAGTTCTGAAGGCAAAAGAGGGCCCAACCTTGTAATAGCAAGGAGTACCTAATAGGGGTGCAAATCACAGCTTTCCTTGCGATACGATACAATATCGATTCCTTAAGCCAACAGTTCGATTTTTTTTGATACCTCAGAAATTCTCACGATACGGTACGATTAGATTCAGTTCGATACTGGGGATAGTAGTTGAAATGATGAAATTTCACACAATCCTTTACATTTCAATTAATTAAAAAAGGCAAATATAATTAGCATTTTATCATATTTTATTGGGAACTGTAAATAAAATCAAGTGTAGTCAAGTATGTCCCATAAAACAAGCAAAATAAAGTGCAATAAGGTAAAAATAAAAACTTTGGATGGATGTAGATTAACATGGTGACTAATTTTTATTTTGAATCAAGTCTTCTCCAGACAAATACAAAAGTGTAACAAAAAGTATGTCCATAACTGTCATGACCTGCTCGTGTGCTACGCCCCTTATTAACTTCATGTAAATCCCGATTGTTCCCAGCTGTTTCTTATTGTTTCGTCTAGTCCTGTGTATTTAAGTCCACGTCAGAGTCTGTTGCCCAGATCTGTCATTGAAGTTTTCCCCATGTTCCCCATTTGTTGGATTTCCGTGTGCCTGACCCTGATTCCTCCTCATTCCCTGCTCACTCGCCCTAGGCTGGGATACAATGATAACAAGTAAAAAAACGTGCAATAAAGTCAAATAAAAAACACTCCATGGACAGATATGTAGAATGAGGAAGATCAACATGACTGACTTCTGTGCTGAAATAAGTATGTCAGTATTCTTCTTTGAGAGGTTCTTTTTTTTTTTTTTTTTTAAAGAAAAATTAAATGGTCAACATGTTCAGGAGATTGTGTGCTCTGAGCATAGCGTCCTATGTCACCTGCCATACTAAACACACGCTCTGAAGGTATGCTAGCTTGTGAGCTACTTATAAATGACTAAATCAAAGTGATCTACCTACTATAAAAATGCAAAACATATATTTTTGCATAAAAATATTGAGTATTCTTTAATATTATTTATTATTACTATTATTATTAATAATTTCACTTTGGGATAAATAAAGTATTTTTGAATTGAACTGGGATTTTAGTTCACCTATCTATTTCTCAGCTCGCTTTTCGGAGGGAAGTTAGGTGACTGTCATGACCTGCGCGTCCAGTCCTCGTGTGTGCCATGCCCACCTCGTTACCCGTGTGTGAATTCCCATTATATCCCGCACCCTGCTCGCTCGCCCGTCACACGATAGTAACATCGATTCGGTAACTTGAGTTTTGCAGCAGCTGGCGCAGTTGAATGCGTCATCCATCCTTTATTTTTTATGCCATACGATCTACCCACACTACCTTTGCAATCAACCAGTATATTGTGATCGACGTAATGGGCACCCCTGGTGTAGACCATGTATACGTCGGAGTGGATCATGAAAACAATACTAGAACAGGCGAGAAAATAAAAATGCATGTATCGATATTTATGCGGTCACATTGATGCATCGGATCATTTGCCGTTGAATCGATATATCGAAACAAATCGATGTACTGTTACACCCCTAGTACCTAATGAAGTGGCTAGTCAGTATATATATTTTTATAAAGTTGCAATTTCGATATTTCGTTGGACCACCTTTAGCTTTGATTATAGTGCACATTTGTCATGGCATTGTTCCCATAAGCTTATGCAACATCTCACCCTCTATTTATTTTCATCCAGATTTGCATTAATTTCTCACGGAGATCAAGCATTGACAAGTGAGATGAACCAATCCATAAAGCCTTCTTTATCACATCCCAAAGACCTTCAATGAGGTTAAGGTCACAACTCTGTGGTGACCAAGTCATACATGAAAATGATTCCTCATGCTCCCTGAAACACTCTTTGACAATTTGAACCCAATGAATCTTGGCATTCTTGTCCTTGAATATGCCCATGCCAACAGGGAAAAGAAAAATCCATTCATGATGGATGGAGGTGTAACCTGGCCAGTAGATTCAGGTATTCAGCTGACCTCACTTTATTGCTGAACAACGTACAGTTGCTGGGCTGCAATAATGATCCAATCATTGGCTCTTAAGTATTTGCTGATATAAATTTAAATGGCAACTTTTTTTTTTGGCCGGGCAGTGTATGTACTTCATCTATAGAAACAAAAAATGAGCCAGTACAGCTAATCAGAAAGTAAAAGAGTTGAGCAGCACGGAAGCAGTACTGACCACACTGAAGTCCAGGTTCTCTTCAATCCAAGCCTGTCCGTCCTTAAACTCATCATGCAGGCCCATCATATAGAGCGTGTCCAGTGCATCCACAATGGTAGCTCCCATCTGGGAGTTTCCTGCAACAAGGGGAAAAAGAAAAACCCACTTTAACCCAATACACTACCGTTACCGAATATTATTCACAGAGATGTGAGAACTGAAAAGCAAGTATATAATATACAATACCATTCAAAAGTTTGGGGTCGCTTAGAAATTTCCTTGTTTTCCATGAACACAAACATTAAATGACTTTGAATAGGAAATAGATATTGACAAAGTTAGAAATAATCATTCTTGAATTTAAAATAATAATTGTGTTTTTCAAACTTTGCTTTCTTCAAAGAGTCCTCAATTTGTAGCAATTGCAGTCTTGTAGACCTTGGGCATTCTAGAGGTCAGTTTGTTGAGATAATCTGATGAGATTTCATCCCATGCTTCCTGAAGCATCTCCCACAAGTTGGACTGGCTTGATGGGCACTTCTTACGTACCATTTGGTCAAGCTGCTCCCATAACAGCTCAACAGAGTTGAGATCCGGTGACTGCACTAGCCACTTCATTATACACAGAATACCAGCTGACTGCTTCCTCCTTAAATAGTTCTTTGGAGCTGTGTTTGGGTAATTGACCTGTTGTAGGACGAAATCAGCTCCAAATAAGCGCTGTCCATAGGGTATGGCATGGTGCTACACGCGTTGTAACAGAATGACGGATCTCCGTAAAGACGCACCGCAGCAGGAGGACGATCCCTGGCTCCTCCTGCTGCATGAGGTCGCATATTGGCGCGAGCTGCCGGAGATCCGCGGGGATCCCGGCTTGTTTGCCCTAACGGAGGAGAGCTGGGATCTCCTCCAGGAGGTTACCCCACGGACGGAGGAGCATGCATTGGCGGAAGTGCGCTCCCTCCTGCAGCAGCTCGTCAGCCGGGTAAGGGAGAAGCGGCTCCAGC